AATATGATATCTTATGATGAGGTTTCCTTTTGATCCGACTATCAAATTCTCATTCTTTGGTAGATGAATTCGAAGACATACCATACTGCATCCAAACTCTTCCAATATCATGTGGAGAGGTATATTATGACCTCGGGGATATGTGACCCCGAGCTTGTTTCAAATTGAGATGGACAAATAGTCTTTTTGACCAGCCGTTAGCCAAGAAGTACATATTTGAACGACAACGGGTTCAAAGGTGTATCGCTTCATATTTCCAATTTATATGGAAATGCATATATTGTGATCTCAGGGATATATGTCCCAGAGCTTGTCTCGAATGGAGAAGACTTGATACCCTTCGTTATTATTGGTTGTTAGCCAAGGTATATGAGTTGACCGACGATCATGATAGTTACGGCATATAAGGGCCCTCATATGACAAGTCCTAGGCACATCATATTCCTTATACCAGGATCATGCATTGCAAATATTTTTCAAAAATCATATCCATTGGGTTTGTATAGTGACTTACTGTTTGTCAAGATATATAGATCTGATGATTTATTTCATGTATTGCACCCTCGGGCGTGTATGTAAATTTCTCTAAGTGTATTTATTCTTGTATTATGATTAAAAATACACCCAGCATAATAATAAAAAGTTGGGAACTTGATCTTGAAGAAAGAGAAATAAATTTAAGTATTGCCATTATGATAAATCATGATGTTTTACTCATGCTTTCACGAATATGCCTATCATGATAAATATCAATAATTTTCATAATGAGGATTTTCATGTTAATGCAGATTTGTCACTCATGATTTTTCATGCTAATACAGATTCGCCACTCATGATTTTTCATGCAGATATTTCATTCTAATTGAGCAGATTTTAATTTGAAAATCTATTAAATTTGCATTGTAAACAACCTGCAAAAGGTTGGGCAAGATCATCAAGTCGATCAAAGGGATCACAAGTGGTTAAACTATAAGACCCACATTTTTAAAAAAAATTCAAAAATTATTTTCTATAAAATACTTTTCAAAATTGTTTTTCAAAATTGTTAAGAAAATAGTCTACAGCAGCATGAACCTAAATTGTTAACTAGTCTGTTTTTCAAATCTCCTTTTCAAAAATTCTAAAGTGCAGTTAGTGAGTTTTTAAAAGAACCTTAATTTTTTTGTTAAAAATGTTTGCCCCTTTATATTTTCAAAAACTCTTTATGTTTTCAAAATTACTGAAAATATTTTTTAAAATGAAGGAATGGGACAAATCATACATGTTATAACTACGTTGTCGCCTTCTTTGAAGTTTTGAAGAATGGGCTAAAAACCTTAAAATCTCCTCTTTAAGAAACATTCTTAGTAAAATACATACCTTACAAAACCTTATCCTGAAATTGTAGACCTATATTATGGAAGGAACAAAGCAGTCAAGTTTTCAGGGGAAGAAGGGGAGATATCCAAACATGAATACTTGCTTAAGAGAATCACCTTTTATGCCAAATAAATGGCAGACGCTAAAGCCTGGACCTTTCACCTGTCAGATAAAACAATAGTAGACAAGTTTCAAATCATGTTGCACCAGCAGAAAGTCAAAATCTCAATTCCGGTTGCATAGCCATTTCCTAGTCTTAACTACTTCAAATTAAATGTTGATAGGGCTTCATTTTAGAATTATGAGCTTGTAAGTTGTGGAGGAGTTCTTAAAAGTAATGACGGTTCTTTTGTTGTTGCATTTGTCAATCCCTTATGAAAAGCTCCAAACATTTATAGAGCTTCACGCCTTGCAAGTAGGGGTGAATTTGACCATCCAGCTTAGTTGTTTTCCCTTACAGATAGAAAGTGATTCCTCATTATTAGTCAATGTAATCTAAGATCAATGAAAAACTCTATGGGCGCTCAATATTGTTGCTGCTAACTGCCGACATAAACTTTCGGATTGTGTTTGGTCCTTAGACTATATCTTTCATTAAGAAAATATGGTGGATGATTCTCTCGTTAAGAAAGCCACAACATTTTCATATGCCACTATTTGGCAAACTAGACCACTTGATTTTCTCTCTCTTGCACTATTTTATGATGTGGCACAAATGTCCTATTCTGAGGTTGTAACTTTATGAGCTGTATATTTATTTTCTTAATATTAAGGAAAATTTGTGTAGGAGGCCTTCTCCCTCACTGACTTACCCAAAAATTATACATTTCATTTAGATTCCACAATCAAACTTATGCACTGGGATACATGTTCATTATGAGCTAAATTGTCAGTAGACAAGGGTTTGCTTCTCCAACAACATGACTAACACACGTAGGGCGTGTGGGTATCACCTTGACATGACATTGAGAGGAGATTTCATGATTGAATTAGACAAGATCAATATGAGTATGTTATCTTATCGAATCGTGTAGCGTGTATGATAGCTACGTGTGACCATCAGTAATGTTTAGGTTAAACACATGGATACGACCTTAGGGCACTTTGGTTGTGATGGGACACATGACTGCTGCTGAACTAAAATTTGAATGGTGTAATTTCAATGTAGATCCTAGTATTGTTTATTAGTTGCACCATGAGTTATGACTTATACTACACGTACTTAGTGAGACATGACGGTGCTTAATAAAGAGATGTATAGGATAATCCATATTCTTTATTGTAAAATAGCTAATTATTTAATAACTTTTAGTATAGATCCTGTAATTATATTAAAAAGTGGATACTTGATGCTTCTACTAGGACCCAACCCCTCGCCACTCCAGGGTGGGAGTTTCTATTGATATTTTGGGTATTTTGATGTTTTAAGATTTATATGAATTTTTGGGATTTTTTTGGTAACTTTTAGGGATTTTCTAATTTTTAAGGGTATTTTAGGAATTTTGACAAAGTTGAGGGGAGTTTGGGGACTATGGGATGAGGCAGGGGTAATTTGGGAATTGTGAATTTTATATCTCTAGGGCAAAGGTTTTTCTCTCTAGGTTAAAGATTAATTTTCCAACCCTTATAGGCATGAGAAGATATGGATGGAACACTAAAAGTTGATAGGTGGAAAATCAAAAGCATGGCTCGAAGGGGGATGGATGAAATTGCCCAAAAAAAAAAAAGCCTCAACATTGAAAATTTCAATGTTTTGCTCTTAAGAAGGCTTCCTTTTTTGTTTACCATCAGAACCCAAGTTGAATTGTTTTTCTACCATTTCGGCCAGAATTTCTTCCATGAAATCATGGACCAATCAACCATGATTATTTTGCAACAAATTTGATTGAAAATTGTAGTCGATTAACGAAGTTCCACTCATTTTAAGTTTCGGTTTTTTATTTTCGATAAAAAATGGCATAGCCATTTTTACACCTCCTCATTGTGTTCAAATTTGGCCGTTATTTGACGATCAACCGGTGGGTTCTTGTGGAAGATACAGAGACCGATGTTCGGCAAAAATTGCAGCTCGTGATGAAGCTGGATTGGAGAGATATGGCTATTTTACTTCTTTCTATTTTTGGAAACTATAATGCCAAAATATTCAAGCAACTTCTCTCTATAATTTCCCTATCAATTTGAATTTTATCTTCAAATTTCTTTATATTAATATGAGTAGCATTGAGTCAAGAATCTCTCTTCCAAATTTGAACCAAAATACTTGTTGGATCTTGAGATATTGATCTATGAATGATCGGAGGTTATAGGGGCTGCAACTTTTTCAATGACCTCAATCACCTTTCTTTTTCCTTTGAAATAGTCATGATTCAGTTAAAGAATTTCCTGAAACAAGTAAGAATATACTTAAATTTAAGCCCATTTGGTCATGTTATCTATAAAATATTTTCCAATCACTTTGCCCAAAAAATTTTTTGGGCTGCTGCAACTCCCATGGCCTGTTCAAGAAAGGACTGATGGTCCATTTGTGGTATGACCAAGAAAGCCTTACAACATGTATATTTAGATACTGAATCGGATTGGAATTTGGGGAATATAGTTTTCTTATTTATATTTTCTTTTCATAAAATTTATAGCCCCTTTGGTTGCTTATTTCTCAAGCATTTTTTGTAAAAGCAAGTCGAATAATGTGCACCCTCACTGAGTTTTACGTCGTAATGGTCATATCTCATTAATTTGGCTTCGTATCGAACTCAAAATTTGAACCTAGCTCATTCATAATATGTCCTTCCTTCCATAAGAATTTTAGAGCATTTGAATCTATATTTCTTGGGCCCCTATGTAAAATGTACTGGCCCCGCTTGAAATTTCAAACTTGTTAGATTTGTATATTGACGATCTGAAATCGGATTAGTCTCAAATTTGAGATTTGAGCTTTTCACCTTGGTTCCTACCTTTTATAAAAATATTGGACCATTAATACAAATTTCATAGGATTTCTTTGTAATTATAGGGTCATTTTAGAGCATCACATTTCGGTTCTTGACTTGATAGATCTATATATTTATCATTCAAGGTTGGTTTGAATTGAAATTTGGGGGATGGGTTTGTGGTATTTCAGATTAAAATTTGAAAACTTAAAGGAGTTTTTAGGAAGATTTGACTGAAGTTTGACCATATGGTATGTTGGGCTATCTAATAATCAATTAAGGGTGTGTTTGTTTGAATGCTCCTCATTTGTTCAATAAAAAGGCTCTTCGCATAAATTTTTTTGATGTCGCCGTACCCTGCAAATGCCTTTTTTTATCTAACACCATTTCCTGAGGAGAAGTATTGAGACAAAATACCCCCAAACAAATATACGGCTTATAAAAAGAAAATGATACACTTTACTAAGAGTCTCCATGTCTCTCCTCTCTTTCTAACCTTTTGGTTTTCTTTCCAAACCTAATTTCATCCATAAAAAAACTAATTGTCTATTAGATTATTAGAAAAGTTCATATCTATCAAATAGCTAAAGGGATTTGAATTATGTATATCTAGTAATCAAAATTCGATCACTGAGTATTAAACTTTTGAACGGGAGGTACCATGTTTAGTAATGAATAAAAGGATCACAGCAACCACAAAAGAGAAATTAAATCTCAAAAAGATATCAGACATCTACGTGACACTTTATTTTTGTATTTATACTGCTTTTAGGTCTCATCGATGTGTCCCACATAGACACAGAGAGAAGCCCATTTGCATCACAGTTAACTCTCATTATATGCAATGCTCAAACCAAATAATGAACAAAACTGAATGAAAAATAGGACTTGTAAGTTGTGACCACCTCTTTCTTATCTTACATTAAAAAAAGCAAGAAAATAAGGACTGTAAGCCTCAATAAAATGAATCCGTCCATAACCCACTGTACCCAGCCAGTCTTCTGCATTCTTCAAAAGGGTGCATGCTTACAGCAAAGATCACATCCCAAATTAAAATGGGGAAAATTATAATTGTAAATTTCTTATCTTACATTAAAAAAAGCAAGAAAATAAGGACTGTAAGCCTCAACAAAATGAATCCGTCCATAACCCACTGTACCCAGCCAGTCTTCTGCATTCTTCAAAAGGGTGCATGCTTACAGCAAAGATCACATCCCAAATTAAAATGGGGAAAATTATAATTGTAAATTTTATGTAGAGAAGACAATGGTAAGGGTTTCGAAGCTTTAGAAGCCATCACTACTCAAAAAAATGAAACTGTAGAGAGACATTGCTAAGGACATTGAAACTTCAGAATTTAGAGAGATGAAACATGGGTAACCTGGGGTTCGACTCCCGGCAACGGAAAGTTTTAATTTTCAAGAAATAGAGAGATGAAACACAGGTAACCCAGGTTCGAGTCACGGCAATGGAAAGCTTTAATTTTCAAAAAAATAGAGAGATTTAACACAGGTAATGATTTTGAAACTTTTAAGAGAGATGAGAGATGATAATAGAGAAGTTCTAATAAGGAACAAACTTGAAATTCGAGGGATGAATCCATTGCCAAAGATCATGAACACTTTATAGAGAGAGATGAAACACTGATAAGGATTTTAAATTAAGAGAGTCGGTGACAGTCCAATATGGAAGAAAATTGAAACACCAGAGGGGAATCCATAGCTAAAGATCATGAAACTCTAAACTCTCGTAAGGATCATGAAACATAGATATAGATTAAAAGAAATTCAGATAGAGAGAAAGCCAAAGTCCCACATCGCCTCACCTCCATGGGACGGCAACCGGCCCCATCCTCGGCAACACATGAACCGCCACCATCCTCCGCCTGGCAGGAGGCCTCACCATCCACACCCTCCGTACCTCCCTGGCCACTTCGACGACCACGCACACCCTTCCCCCCTCTCCGATCACGCACACCCTCCCCCCTCCAGCCGCTGCCCCCTCTGCTCCCCTCATCTCCTCCACCTTCACCACCTCCTTCCACTCCCCCCTCTCCTCCTCATACCTCTTCAGAACCCCCTCCCTCTCATCCACACCATACATTTCATCACTTCCCTCCATCCCAACCACCGGCCCAGCCGGCCACCCCGTCAACATCCCCTCCGGCATCGCTTCCCACTCATCCCGCCCCCCATCATACACCACCCCCTCACGCACCAACCCTGCCCTCACATTCACCATACATAACCTCCCCTTATACGCAGTTGCCTCAATGGCCTCTCTCGCAAAACGTGTGTTCTTCATACAGGCAACCTCCCTCCAACACCAGGGTAACTGATCCATGGACCAAGCCAGTGTCGACCGCGCAACCGTCTGGTTAAATTGGCAGCCTGTCCCGCTGGCAACTACGACAGTGGGGCCTAGGGCGCCAGTTGCACACCACCGGCGGGGAGCAGGGAGGGCAGGCCCAAACCGCCAACAGCGCGACTGCGGGTTAAATGCCAGAGGTCTTGGGAGGGCGGGGAGGAGGGGGGAGGTGGTGGCTGCGATGGTGAGGAGGTGGCCGTAGGCAGTGAGGGTTTGGATTGGGAGGGTTCGGGAGAGGAACGTGGGGGATCGAAGGAGGAAGGGGCGGTGGGGTGGTGGAGGGGGTAGAGCCTCCCAGTGTCCTGAGAGAGGGTCGAAAGCGGTCCATGTCAGATTGGTCGAGGAGTGTTGTGTGTGTTGCTGTTGTCTCTCTCTTTGATGGTGGTGGTGCGTTCTTTCGTTGATCTCTTCTTCATCGATGTGATTTCTCTGGTGGTAGAGGTGGTGGTGCGTTCTTTCGTTGAGCTCTTCTTCATCGATATGATTTCTCTTTCTGAATTCTCCTCGTGGGTGATGGCGCTTTCTTTTACCGAGCTCATGGTAATGGTGGTGATAGTCAAATTCTGTCATTTCTTCTTCATGATTGGGGCTGCTTTCTCTCTGTTTCCAATGAACATGGCGATAGCTTTCATCTGCAATTTCTTCATAGTCGAGATGTTGGGTTCCTCTGAATTCGCTTTGGTGGTTCCTCTCTACAATTTGAGAGGTTCTCTTTGCCTCCCCTGATTCGAAGAGGTGGTTTTCTGCATCCTCTGATGAATCATAAACGGTAATATCCGCAACAGCTTCTTCAGCTTGGTGGTGGGTTTCTTCATCTGCTCTTCCATAAAAACATTCGTTCTCTGCAACTTTTTGAGAAAGACTTCGGTTCCCACCATGAAAATGGCCATTTTCTACAAAATCTTCAGAGCAAAGCTCATCACCAAGAAGAAAATATAAACACAGAAAAGCAGGAAAAGATGGAGAATTGTAAAGCAATCGCCTCCACGATTTGCACACAGAGAACAATACAGGAGCGGGCACTTTAGCCAAACACAACTGAGCTAAGTGGTTCGGCAAACCGGGCAATAGATCATCACCATTCCATTCATTGTCATAACAGGGTGTTCCTCCACCTCTCATTTCCCTGTTTTCAGACCGAAAAATGGGACGCTTTGTCCCTGGATCGACTGTTTTCAGTCTAGTAATCGGTGGCTCCGCCTCCTGATGGGCTGTTTTCAGGCAAAATATCGGCGGTTTGGCAAACCAATTGACCGTTTTCAGCCAAAAATCGATTCACTAGTCGGCCATGGAGATGAATCCTTTTTTGAGTTTTTTTTGCAGGGATTGTGAGGGTTTCGTTTTTACAACTGCAACGAGGAGTCGATTGGTCCGGTCCCTCTGCGTTGCCATTTTCTTTTCTTTTGGACGAAATTGCCTTCAATTTTGTTCAACGTACTAATAGCCCCAAGGTACTTATAAAAGGTTGCAACCTTAAAATATAGAATTAAAGATGCACCTCAAAAATCCAAAATAATATTATTTTAATATTAAAATTTGTTCAAAATATATAAATTTTAAAATATATATATATATTTTGAGTTCTAAAAATAATCCATCTTACAATACATTATCTAAGTCGTTCATTTTTAAGATTTTCATATATTTATATATTTACTTGATTTTAAACATTTTTTTAGTTTAAAATTTTATAAATAAATATAAAAATAAATTTTAAAATAATTCTAAAATTTTTTACAATTTGATAGTGCACCTTAATTGAATTGCTTAAAGTTGCAACCTTATAAAACCACACCCTATAAGTATAGCATTACCATGTGTCTACATTGGGCTTTCATATGAAGTCTCAATATATCTAAAATAACTACCCCTCCTTTCTCCAATTTTTTTTCAATACTACCCCTCCTCTATCTGATTTTCTTTTTTATAATAACTTTTGTTAACTAATTTAATCCTATTATTTTATTTTAAGTATACTCTCAGGGCGCATAGAGTATGCTCTTACACTGGGAGGATTTTTTCAAATCTATAATTTTGGGAATCATATAAGAACTACTAGATAATTAACTTTAAAAGAAAAAAATGAAGTTTTAGTTATCTAACGTTAGATCTCACTTTCTAAAAAAAATGGACATCCTGTTTCAGATGCCATTTTTTTTTTTTAAGTGCATAGATAGTGTAATTATGATTTCTTTTTTATATTGGGATTAGCCTATGGCTTTAAGAGGTTACAACTCCAAAATTTGGAGTCCTAAAGTTAATCCCGGATTGGGTTTTTGCTGAGCTGAGTAATTGGACAATATACTCCCAATATAAAATATAAAATGTTTTGGGTTTTATCTAGACCAGGGCATTAGTAGGCTTTTGTGAGCAGGTACACTATGCTCCCCGCGGAACAAATATGCATCCACTCCCTCAATTTCAAGACCAACTTGGGAGAAGTTTTTCAATCTTAAACTTTGAGAACCGCCTAAAAGTCACTACATGATTATTTTCGAAAGAAAATTTTGAATTTTTTTGAGTATTTTAGCACTTAGATCTTACCCTTCAAAAATTAGAAAGTTTCAATCTTGAGACATTGTTTTCTCAATTACATTGAGTGTGCAATTTAGAATTGTTTTTACTCGAAGAAGTTACATCTCTAAATTTGGGGTCTTAAAGCTACTCCTGGAATAGATTTTACCCAAATGAGTAAATGGATAATATACTCCCTAGCGATCCACTCTTGAAGCTAGCAAAAGGCATGTAAGACATTTCTTTTTGCCATGGGCAGGGATCTCCTTCAAAAATTCGCAAAAAGTTTATTTTAGTTCGATTGAGGGTAGCCTGAAATTTGTGAGCCAAATTGGGGGCATATAATTATAAGTGACTTTAATTTCGTTGGGTTGGTGATTATATTCATTCCAAAAAGGTTCGAATTAATGTTGTAAAGGTGGGAGTTGTGAAGGAATTCAATGCCATTAGGATAAATAAGAGCCGCTTGTATTGTTTAATTATTTTTTATTATTTATTTGTGGTATAGTGTGTTTTGCTAGGAGTCAAGAAGACCATTTCTTATTTAAAGATATTTATTTGGGCCCAGCTGATATTTGATACTGAAGCTTTTTTGTATTATTTTGATATCAAAAGCCAGAAAATATGAAAAGGAAAATGTCTCTATCAAAAAAAAGTAAAGCATTGTCTCAAAATTCATCCATAATTGTACTTCTTTAGGTTGTATAACCATCAAATGGATCATCTTGGCCTTGCCTATTATGATTATCGAAGAAAAAAAAAAATTTTTAAATTTAAAAATAGTTTAAATCATGATAAATTATTTAAGCTGTTTATTTCACTTTAAAATTAAATATTCAGTAAGATTTGTACAAATTTTTTAGCTTCAAATTTTATAACCGGTGTTGGAAATTGATTTTAAAGTCATTATCCGACGAGGATTTGTGGTGAGGCTTTACTTTGCTTTGATTACGAGGTGAGGCTTTAATTTGCTTTCGTAAAGTCTAGCTCTCATGAAAATCTACATCCAATTAGCGGCCATCTATTTTCCTTGACTTCTATCCCGGACTCCGTGAAATAAATAAATATCGGAACTCTGGCTCTTGGGACATTTCACGGTCAACATACTACCATCTTGTCTCTCTATTGCCAAAAAGGTTACTTACTTATGTGGGAGTATATTGTCTTTAGTCTATTTATTTTCTGAAATGATATTATTTTCTAGTCATACACTTCGGAATCTAATTTACTCAGCCTAGCACCTAACCTAAAAGAAAAATAAAACCTAGTGATATTGTATATATGCCTAGGAATTTATAAAGTTGACTAGAGACCTTATAGTCTACACCATTCCCATCTACTTGTGTAGAAATAGGGGTGGCAATGGGTCGGGTCCAGTTGGAACCAAACTCGCACCTGAATAGCAGTCGGGTCTAAATTTTGGACCATATTCGGATCTATCAGCTCTTGGGTTTGGTCGGGCACCCAATGACCATGGACTTTTTTTTTGTCCATCATATACCTATGACAATGAGTTTTTTTTTATTTTGTCAACAATACTGTAAATGTTGCCAATATTGTGACAATATGAACACCTACTGTACACCTAAAGACATATGATTGTCATCATATACCTTATGACAATGGGTACAGGTTTGGTCCAACTAAACCCGACCCGGACCCGAATAATAATAGGTTCCAATATTTGGACCCATACCGGGACCCGAGGTCGGGTCTACCTGTCAGGTTGCGGGTATGGTCGGTCCATTGCCACCCCTATGTAGAAACTCAAAATCACACTATTTGTAAAAGATAATCGTAGAATGACTTGTAGATGCCAAGGTTTTAGATGGATTCAGTACTTGCTAGGGGTGGCAATGGGTCGGGTCTGGCTGGACTCGGACCCATATCCAAATGTATTCGGGTCAAGGTTTTGGACTCGGACCTAACCCATCGAGTCTAAAAGTTGGACCCATATCCGTATCTGTCGGGTCCCGAGTCTATCCCATCGAGTCTTGGGTCTAGCCAGGTTCATTGCCATGCTCACTATGAGCTTTTTTTTTTGTATCCTACAATGGTGAAAACAAAGAACCGATTTTTAAGAGGTGGGCGATTAGAGAGAGAGACATTCCCAGAGAGAGAGCTATGTCTCTAAGAAATGGAGAGAGGGAGGATGACGATGGGTTTTGGCCTTGTGGAACCAATGGAAGATCAAAAGTATTGAAACAATATTAGGGTTGGGGCTTTGGCATTTAGGTAAACTAAAAATTCGGATCTAGGTACCCATCAAGTTGAGTATAGTAGGACCCAGGACTAGCCGGGTATCCTTCATTGGACCCGGATCCTACTTGCATTTCCAAAACTTGGACCCACACTCGGATTCGTGTCTGGTATAACCGGCGGGTATGGGTCGGGTCCGGGTCCATTGCCACCCCTACTCCTTGCCTGAGCTTTTGCTCGAGGGAGTACATATACAAATGGATTTTTTTCAAATACGTTTGGAGGATCAGTAAAAGTGTTTATAATTTTTCCTCTTTCAAATACTTTCGGAGAAATAGCACAAAAACTTCACTATCTCTTAGTAATAAGAATTCGTCTGTACGTAAATTCTAGAGGAAAATTTGTCAGATGTATGCTAGGAAATAACATATTGAACATTATCTTGTTTGTACGTATGCATAACTGGATGTATGCTAGGAAATAACATATTGAACATTATCTTGTTTGTACGTATGCATAACCAGTTAAGTTAAGTAGGATCTAGAGCACCAGAGTTGTCTTTGATACGGCGAGAAAATTCATATAAAAAAGAAGATAGTTTGAAATCTGTTTATAAAATTATATATAAAAGGAAAAAGTTTATACAGAGCTGAGGCTTTAAACAATAAAATTAGAGCACACTTAAAAACTTTCACTAGAAGATATTGTTTTGATGCTCATATATCCTCAAAGTGATCATATCGACATCAAGATACATGGACATGAGAAAAAAAATAGAGTTTGAGTTTTGGAAATAGTGCATCTTGTAACGTAATTTTGGACCATCAATTTTCAAGATTTTTCAAAATTTCTATAGATCTGCTCGATCTGTACTATTTTTGAAGCTTTAAATTTTATAATTAAAGATAAAAATATATTTTAACGTTATCACAAATATTTTCAGTACTGGAACCACATTTCTTGATATCATTTGAAGACGCGTTTCGCTTAGATTGTTTAGAGCTTCAGATCTATACAAACCGCACCCTATACAAAAAGAGGAATATTTGAGTCCAATAAATGGAGAGAGAATGCGCCCTTTCAACTTCACTCAATATGCTCGTTCAAATTGCTCTTTTTTTATCAACTTTTTAATCATGGTAAATGAGCCCCATCAGCTGAACTAGATGCTTAAATGTGTATTGCTTCATGGTAACTTTTTTGGGTTGCGAAAAGTTAACCATTGCACTCAAAATCGTAACCATGTCTTTATGGGAAATTTTAAACATATATATAAATATTAGGTTAAATATAGAAATAAAGATGCACATAATATTGTTTTAATGTTGAAAAACCCTCTAATTCAGCATCTTGACATTACGATGTTTGAATATATATATAAAAAAAAGATTTTGAATCTAAAAAATAATGTATCTTGCAACACATCTAGACCGTCTATTTTCAAGATTTACATATGTTTATAGATCTACTTGATTTTAACCATTTTTGGATTTTAAATTTTTATAATTAGATATGAAAATAGATTTTGAGATAATACTAAGAATTTTTTACGCCAAAATTATATATTATAATAAAATTTGGAGGTACGCTTTAATTGGATTGTTAACGCTCCAACCTTATAGAAACCATACCCTTATTTAAATATTATAATTAAAAACATATAATTATTATAATTAAAATTTATAATTATATTTATTTTAATATTATTAAAATAT